ATTAAATGACAAAGGAGACTTGCCTCTTGGGTTCACTTGAGTGGAACTCCCTGGTCACATTATAGGCTTTGTTTGCCTTCCTCTGAACACGTGCTGTAAAAGAACCAGCATTACCCAACATAACAAATGTGGGTTATTGAAAGCTGTTTGAAAAATGGACAGATGCTTTACAGCTTCCTGAGTCAAAAACTATTTCCATTATATACAATCTGAACGCTTACTGTTTTTTTACATTCACACCAATTTTGAGAAGTACATGGCAGCTCTCTGAAAATCGCCCAAGGCCTGAAAATGATACTGAGGTCTGTGGAAGCCGTTTTTAGTGTTGCCCATAAGATAGGTTTATACATGGTTAGCTGTACCACACCTCTCCTACAACAAACGTGGTTTCAATGTGTGAGACCACGTCACATTGAGTGAGCCTAGGTCAAAGGTCACGGTTACCCCACTCTAGTCAACTTCTCTCTAACATACAATTGGTGTCTAATTCTGTCTGATATCAAGCATTGCCAGATTATGGTTTTTGAGGGGCAGTTTATGGCTCCATCTGGGTGTGTTAAATCTGAGCTGAAACGGGAGAAGTGCTGGATACCGGCCAGCTGTTGCTTTCTGACACCACTCGCTCCTTAACACCACCTCCCAAACATAGACACCTCCAATCATAAAGAGATACACACACACACACCTCTCAATCTTCTCCATTTGTTTTAGCCTCACAGTTAGCAGTTAGAATCATTGATACTTCTATGGAGGCTGCTGAGTAGAGATGCACTATGTTGACATTTGAGTTGTGCTGTCTAAGATGAGGGGAGTCATATGCCAGTTGCATATTGTGAAATGGTTTACTGGGTGTCAGGCAAAGGTCACGGTCTATTCTGGGCCTTATGCATAATGCTGGCTCTGTTCCCCTGAACATGGCACACACATAGACATATGCATGGACACGTTGAATGTCACACTGGCTTTACAGTTGATAAACAACACAGATGGTTTTTTTATGCGTTACATTACATAATCGCAGCTGTCTGCTTTACTCCAAGCTTATACAATGTTTTAAATGCAGGATTTTGTTTGTCTGGTAAAAAGGAAGTCTCTTTGTATTTCACCACAACTTGTCTCTATAGTACAACCTTGCAACAGAATTATGAAATAAATCATTTTAGAATGTTGGCATATTGGTGAAGTCCCATCAGTAGACCGTTAGCTGTAAGGTAACTACTTGTGTTTTCAATATGTAGCATGGTGATTTTTTTCTTGACTACAGATTATTCGTTTGGTTCTAAAATGTCAGAACAAGGTTAAAAAACTAAAATGATTCCGTTTACTATATACACTACGAAAGAAGATAAAGGAAAGAAAAAAAACTAATCCCATTTGCGAAGCTGTAACCAGTGTATTTATAAAATGTTCGCTTTAAAATTGTTAATATTATTAATCTTTTATGAAACTGTGATTATCTTTCTTTTTTTTTATCATTATTTTGGAGTGATCATTAGAACTGCCCTTTTTGTTTTATCTGTGATAAGTTGTGGTTAAAGACCCCAACAAACAAGAGTGAAGACGGCAGCAAAATACACTTATTTTTTGGGTCACAAGATGAATAATTAGGACTACAGAAATCAACAAAATTAAGTGCTTGGATTTTTTTTCACAGCATTGTTTTGTGTCCACAATATCACATTTTGTTGACATTTCGACATTTGTATACATTTTAAGTTTTGACTGAAAGCTGAATCTTTACAAAAACATGTTTTTTCAGTCGCGGTCCACTCTTGCTTTTATCATTGATAGTTTTCCCGTTCCTCCCTTCATTTGGTGGTCATTACTCCATCCTATTACTGAGGTCAAATGTGATCTTTCTCAGCTGTGTTGGAGCAGAGATCAGATTTAGCCCAGATGACATCATATGCAGAGTTGGTTAATCCCAGTAAGAGGACTCTGTGTGGGGCTGATGGCTCGCTCCATCCACGTAACTGTACTGAGGCTACCACAGGTTAAAACACAGAAACCACCACCTAATCCGTCATGACGTAATCATATATTGGTACAGGCTTCAGTGTTTCACTCTAAGAGAGATCCTTGAAATGGCATGTAACATTTCATCTCACACCCGTCCACAGGCTGCTGTAATTACAAGATTTGATCCCACTAAGGCAGTGTTGGCTCGTAGCACTGATATCGACAAATCTCTAAGCTTTTTAGCTGTGAGCAGCAGATAGTGTAGGTCAGTATATGCGCTCATGTCCAACTTCCCTGCAATCCTCGTTGAGATTTCACAGGGAAGCCAGCCAATGAGGGTGGCTGTAGAAATGGTGGTATCTGATTGGTTGTTGTGGTCCTACATTGTAACATGTGAGGCGGTCTGTTTACATGCACGTATAGGATTAAAAATGCCAGGAACTACAATTCTGGTAGCATGTAGGCTTACTTTTCTATATATATGCTGATGAAGTAAGTGGCAGTAAAGCATATAATCAATCGGACAAAACTATTTACATAAAGGCGAAACCGATGAGATCATGTAGCAATCATATTTCTCCAAATACTTTCTCCAAATACATTACAACATAATTGTAGTATGTAACAGCTGAGGTGGGTTAGCAGAAGGGAAGGGCACTTCTAGTTTGCAGGTCAGCTGCCCTCGACACAGGACAGCACACTTGGCAGAAAGCTGCTCTCTGCATGGCACCATGACATCTTTGTAAAAATAATTCACACTTACATGTTTATCTTAATCTTTATAGAAATACAATGCAGTCAAATGTATCTTCAACTTGGGTTATTGTTTGTTTTGTCTTAAAATAGGCCAGATTATTCACACAGTATTGTGATATGGCATTACTAAAATGATATCAATATTTCATTTTAAAATATCACAGTTATTGTCAGGACCGTTAAAAAGCAACTCCTAGCGCCCAAAAACATTACCATGGGTGCAGCCCTGCTGGGTCCGAGGAACATGTCGGCACGCAGATCAAAGATTATTTGTTAAGGGCAATGCTCTGTGAACATTTCTCGTCATATGCAAGATGTTACATAAGATCTTTGCAGCTTGGTCATTTACACAACCGTAGCTTAGTCCATCTGCTAGGAATACAGTTGACTATTAAGTACGTAAAGCTGCCATAAGCCTCAGTTTCCTATTGTAAGCTGTTTTTAAAGGGTCCTGTGGTTTTATGCCATCTGTTTTTAACTTATTATTTATATATTTTATGATTTCTTTCCTCGTTGGCATAGCCTGACTTGTGAGAGACTTGCTTGCTGTTCATGTTGATGTGGGAGGTGGATGCAGCAGTTCCCCGCTCCGCCTCCCAAACTGGTCACGTGTCTTCCTCCTACAGCCTCTCCTCCTCTGTATTACCATCCTGTTTCCACTCTTAATGACTTTCCCCCAGCATGCACACTGGCTGCTTACTTCTCATGTTGGAGCAGCAGGATTAACCATAGGTGTAGCAATGCAAAGTTTTCAATGTTGACATCAATTGTCTCTATTACATCGTTGAAGTCTTTAGTCTTAAATTGTTATAAGTTTTGCATCTCTTCAACATACATCATTTCTTTTTTTTGAGACTTCATAGTTCCTGCAGTGTTTGCCAGATGTTTGTTGCCATTCATAACATCTAACCTTATATCAGATTGTTTTATGGTATTCTCCTTTTTATCATTAATTCTTTCACTTCCATCAAAGAGTTTCAAAGTGAATTCTTACCTTAGGTAATATCTGCAAATGTTATATCATTGTTTAGAATATTGGACTGAGTATCTCCAACACAAAAGCATAGAAAAGGAAAAATCAAAAAAATGTGAATGTGTTGAACAAGGCCCATACTTTGTGTTTGCACTCCTACGCGGTAGCAGGGCAGCAGAAGAGAAAATGCTCCTGATTTAATAAAGGCTTAATGGAGTGACTGTAGGAGCTTAACAGCTTTTATTTCATACCATTCAAAATCGAAGTGCCTTGGAATTAGATGCTCTAGAGAAACACTTTTTAAGATTAAATCTTACTTTAAGCACCTCTTGAGAAGTTGCTTGGCTCAATGTTTTGAGCTACAGTCATCTCCATCCTTTAGCCTTCATTACTAACTGTATTTACTTGGTATATTTTAATTCAAACGGTAGAAACATTCACATTTGACTGACTTAGAGGTAAATGTTATGTATGGATGCTTCATGCACTTTGGCACATCAGACTTTATTCCACTAATTTGACCAACAGGATAATGTAGGCTATGTCTTTGGACCCATGTACAGCCAGCTAGTTGACAGTGTGTGAAAAGGGGAACCCCATACTGCTATTGTCGACATAGGGTTTAACACAGTCTGTGTCACAGCTATTGAAGATTAAAGAAAGGAATTAAGTTGGGTGTTTGTTTTATCCTCTCCACGTTTGTCCATAATGCCCTTGTCATCATAGGAGTGGCCGTTAATCAGATTACATTTTAGGTTGTAAAGCTGGAGCTAGCGATATAATGAACAATATGTCCAAGTGGGTTCATTATCACCATGTCATCACAAAAGCCTGCTGTTCACCAGCTGGAACTGCTCTTTATCCTCTCACATCCCATAAGTCGGACCTCAGACCTAATTTAAGTTCTATTACGCATTGAAATTAACATTGTACTGTAGGTATTTAAGTTTATTGCAGGCCGGGTTAATCATAGTGATTTGTATGCAAAGGCTGTCACTCACGGACTACTTTCTTCCCTTGCGGTGAAGCTCTCAACTTGTGTTATGAATCTTTAATTCCTCGTCATTGTGTGAACTGAAAGCTGTTCAAATATTCATGTTTTAAAATGACTTTATTTCAAATTAACTTATTATCCTTATTTTTATATATATACACAGCACTATTTTTTTCTATTGACAATTATTCCCCCCTACAATTTGAATTGAGCCAAACAGCCAACATGTCATTGTAGAAGTATACTGTGTTGGACATTAACTCATTTGTAAGTGATGTCATATTTCACACTAACTTTGCTTTCTCTTCTCTCATTCAGGAACCTATAAAGTCCAGGGCGCCGCAGCTCCACTTGGAGTATAGATTTTACAAACAGTTGGGAAATTCAGGTAAGAGATATGTTTACTATTATTCTCTGATAGACAGCATCATAACAATGAGTTAAATGTAAATGGGCCTTTCACACACCATTTGGCTGGACAGAGAGAAAGAACTCCATCCTCTCCTATTCTGCTTTTTATTTTTAAGAAACAGACATGGGTGAATACTTACTTTAGGTTTTTATATTACATGTACAAATAAGATTGACCTTCTTCTGTTGTCATTCAATTAGCATAGATCATGTTTTTGTTGTTGTAAAAGCTCGGTTCCCTCTGCTCTACAACGTGAGACCACTGTTTTCAGATTTAAATAATCTATTCAGGAAAATAACTTTTTTTTTATTTGAAAATTGCCAGCTTGGTGTGGATGTAAGGCAAAATGGAAAAGAGAAAATGCATTTTCAAAACCTCTGGGAAACAGAGACACAAACTCCAACAGCTTCCATCTTACTTTAGGCCAAATTTCACAGCGTGTGTCTCTACATCTGTGGAAGCCAATTGGCTGCAAGGAGAGCCTGCTTTCTGGCTTCTAATCCCACCTCTATAGACCCGAGTGTTCTTCTCCTACAGCCCTGCCGAACATGTTAATGTGCTATGATGCATAGCTGCAGTGGCTCCAGGGCAGCAGCTCTTTGATCTGGTCTGGCTGGTCAGTTAGTTACAGAGAGTGAGAGAAGAGGCAGAGTCAGATGTTTGGGAGGAACTGGGACTTCATTTATTTCCACATCACGTTCTGGCTGGCTGTTTTTGGGAAGTGCACACCTGTCATGTTTGTGTAAGTTTGTGTCTATGCCGATTGGGCTGGGCTCTTAAAAGCAGACACAAATTGCAAACATGTCCCTACTACTTAGTCATACCGACAAGATAAAAATGTCTGTGCAGTCTCTTACTCTGCAACAACCTAAATCTTAATGCGCCATTAGTTCTTTTTTTGTCCTTTTGTAATTAACAAAATGCATGTCCCAATTGACATTTTATTACATGTTTTAGCTTAAATTATAGTAGGCTAACTTAGTCTATTAAAGGGATAACTTCTCCTTCAAATTCTGCTTTATCCTTCCCATCCATTTTATTTAAATATGCAACTGGGAAGTCAGGAGCAATGTTAATAAAAGGCACATATGGTCCGGCATCTTGGGGAAGACTGACCGATAACTTTCAGTGTAGCATGGACAGCAATGTAGAGTTTGTAGTCAGACCTAAGGAGCCATGGGAAGCTTCTGTCAGATTCTCAGTTTTTCTGCTGGACAGCACTGGAAGCATTATAGAAGACCCTTTTGGAGAGTTTCTGTGTGGGTAATATGTGTTGTAGCTGGGCTAGTGGCTCTACTACAAGCGTATCAGTACATAGCTGTAGCCATGATGTGTATTCAGGCATTAAATACTTTTTTACTTCGAGTAAAACATACGCTTTGTTAGATCATCAGTTTGACTGGTCATGTACTTAAAATTTAGATTAGAAAAATCCAATATCATATATCCTTGTAAGACTCTTGTTGCAGTGATCCTCCCCAGTATGACAAATGTGTGTCGCGGTCTAATTTTGTGACACATGCCAGCTTCCTGGCTCCTTATGCCAGAGCAAAAGCCCTCCTCTGTTGATAAGGAGGTGGGGCATTGGGGCAGTCCTTGACTATTTTTAGATGGCCCTCTAAAAGCAGTCAGGCCATTATGGTGTGTCTACTTGGATAGCTTCCCACAGTGTCCTCTGGCTCCCTGATTGACTGTGTGCTGCTGCCTGCAGATTGCAGGGGAATTATCTAACATGCATTGCTTACAGGGTGTGGTTCCTTTTTTATGGCTGTCATTTTGATCTCTGAGCAAATGTTACCCAATGCATGCCTCCACATAAACTCAAAAGTAACTGTAATTGTCATCTCCTCTACCATTTTACGTGATAATACGGAGGATTCCTGTCGTACAGTCTTGTCTCTATCTGGCTTTGGTTGTTTCCTCTGGTGCATTAAACACATCCTCACCATCTTCTAATAAAACCACAGCTGACCTTCAGCCTTACTCGGGTTGTGCAACATTACACATTACCACACATTCCTAGCCCTTACACACAACAAGTCACAGGCACAGGTGAATAATGGAACAAGCAGACATGACGCTGTTTCCAAATGCGTGCTGAACATAATTACACTATTAGTGACTTGACTAAATGATTCTAGTTCCTGCTGCACATCTTTTTACGGATGTGAACTACAATTCAACATTAAGTACAAGATTTACAAAACACACTTTCTAAATTTCACTCCAATTAGCAGGCACATTTTACATGGTGAAACAAAAATATAAAGTGATGTAGATTGGGTTCGCACCCTGCGTATGTGACACATTAACACCGTAAAGGATGTAGGAAACTCACCATCGATATTATTCCCTGATCCTTTATCAGAAGAATTATCAGATTTAATTGTTTACATGTGTGATTTTACATTTAATAAAATCGATTAAACTTAACTGCTTATTTATTCTGTGCAACGATCCCTAACAGCTCATCCACTCACTTTCCCTGTTGTTCAATCGCACACTTGTTACATTCACACATTATACTTCTATCTCTTATATCAACAACATAGTATGCAAACTTGTGGTTTGCACTTACACCCAGCCATGGCCATTTTCACACTGTAATACTGCGAGCATCAAAGCGTGCACATGATGTATTGTTTTAAAATGACTTTTTTTCATTCACTCTAAATCGATTTGCTTAATTGATATCTAACAACATTAAATCTAAAGATTCTGAATGACGTATTCTGGAGCATAGCCTATAAGTATGATGTATTTATTTAAATAGAGAAATCCCTATATTATAATATATCATATTATAATGCATTATAATATAATATATATTATAATATATCATATTATAATATATACACTGTTTCTATTATGCATAATGTTCACGCAGTACTAGTGATTTCATGTTGACCTTTGACAACTGTCATATGGTATTTTAAAATCTTTCAAAAAATAGACATGATAAGATATATTGCATTTCCAAATCGTTGGTAAGATCCTGCTGCTTTTCTGAAATAATCAAAAAATGTTCAGATTGAACAGGTGGTGTGACATGTTGCCAAAGGGTGACTGGCAGACAACGAGTGTTTGGAAATCAAGGACACAATTAATGATGAATGTTATATTTCCTGCCACCATATTACAGGCTTTCACTGCTCACATTATATTTTGAACAGGAGACAGACTAAAACAAATCGTCAAAGGAAAATAATTAAATTGACAATGAATTCTGCTAAATGCTGCCAATGTCCTCCCCTCTGTCTCCTGTTTTGTCTGGCACGCTGGCCAAAAAATACCTTTTTAAAAAATAAAAATAGGACCTACATAACACATCCTCCCTCTCTCAACCTCCCTCTTACAAAGATCTGCATCAGGATATTTGGGCATATCCTATCCAAACACCTGTTGATATCCAAATGTTCATAATGTTTAGAAGATGGTTGTGTTTCTCCTCCTGAACAGAAATGCGGGCTACAATATTAGTACACATTCGAGCAGGTCTCCAGCTGAGGACTGGCTAGCTCCACGGTGATATGGCAAAAAGGCTGGCTTGTCTGTCTAGCATGGGAGGAGTCAAGGCAACAGATTAAAAGTACTTATGTTGTCAACTTTGCTAAATGGGGACATGTGACCCTGTTAGTCCTGCACCCAAGAGCCTCAAATATGTCACAGCATGGACGACTCAGCGCTTAACGCCCAGGAGGAGCTCAGCTGCACACTGTTAATTCTCTCCTGTCCTGAACAGATCCCTGCTGGATCGGCTTCCAAGTTCACAGATATTTGGGAAAATGTACAATAAACCCGTAATTTTTTTGTTGCTCTTATTAGTAATACCAGCACTAAATAATGGGCTGATTTATGGTAAAAAGAGTTTTGTATTGTAGCTACTGTTGTCAGCGGATTGGCTAAAGAGATGGTTTGAGGGTCTAAGGACAGAGGGTGTCGTATTCAAATTCTTTACAAACTGTAAGGTCCCCTGAGACAAATATAAATAAACTTTGATTGATTTTATGGTCACTTTTTGGTGTCTAATTGACTTCATGCAGTCATGGATGCACTATTGTGTGTCTGTTACTGTAATGAGTGTCACATAAGAAGGGTTTCCCCTTGAAAATGATTCAGTGATGATAATCATCAGCATGCCTGTGAATATTTATGAGCCCCACCAAGGCTTTTAAGGGCACGATATGCCTTGTCAGTGACAAAGGGGCCATGCTGATGATATTATTTCATACAAATGATGGATTCTTATGCCATGTCAAAGCTTTACTGATTAAAAAAAACAAAACAGTTTGTGTGGACCTCAGTTGTAGAATTATTTTAGGCTAGATTGATAAGATTATTTTAACAACTCACTAGAAGCTAGGCCATGGAGATAGATGCACCATATTAGCGAATAGCAATTAACAATAAACAATTAATAAAAACAGATACTGACAATTACTATTTTCATTTATGAATATTGTTGCTATGATTTATAAAAAGAGCATGTTGTAAATGTCACATTTCCCAATGGCAAGCTAATAGTGACTAAAACGGGTTCCTTTTATTGTGACATTATTATTGTTTCCCAGTATTCCATTTTTCTAATGGTGGCTTGACCACATGTCTATTTGTAGGGCTTAATGATGAGTCATTTCAGCATCGCATTTGAACAGCAATCATAATGGAAAGGATGCAATGTAAACAGCAAATTAGGCCAACTGGAACATTATGCAGCGTTGCAATGGTTTATATAAAGAATGACAACTTGCTCATGAATAATTTCAAAGACAAAAGGTCTAGTCCATCTGATAGGGAACCTTCTTGTGACTGGTTCTGCTCGCAATGAATGAAGAGAGAGCAGTTTTGACTTTTAGAGGAAAGTGCCCTAGTTTAAATTGAAATAATTGTGTTACGAGCTTTTATTTGGTAAATAGAATTGTTTACAAAAGAGGAATTGCTGTTGTAAATTCCCTTACTAGAGGAGCTATGTTGCATTAACAGCTCAGTCTGTGCCGTGCTGATCACATTTCAGCCTTGTGAGAACATCTCCAGAGCACTGGGCCTAATGGAAGTCACGTCTTCTTCTCCTCTCAGTGCACTCGACTCCATGATCTAAATCTTTAATACGCATCCCCTGTCCTCTCCTGCTCTCCTCCTCTCCTCCTCTCCTCCTCTCTACTCCAGCCCTCTCTGCTCTGGCCCTTAACTCTGACATTTCATTGTAGGGCAACATTGTCTTCAGCTTCCATGATGCAGTCTCCCCTCTTACTGTGTCCCCTCAGAAGGCCTTCCCGCAGATACAATAGGTTGGATTGTCTCGTGTTTTCGAGACAGCGGGGGTCAGAGCACAGCTGACATTGTCTGCAATGAAAGGCAGAACATATCCCATAATGCTGAACACAGTTGGATGTCGTTTTCATGTTACTTTATGCTAAATAAATATAGACATTTATTGGTACAGAATTAATTGAGTTTTCCTATTGTTTATCATTGAGAGAAGCCTCCTGCTGAAAGGGTTATTTGGCTCATGAAGACATCCCAAGTGTTGTCTGATCAAATAATGTTTGGCAGTCATGCTTTATCATCCTGATTTTGAAGTGCTTACTCTTCCGTGTTAGAGACAATTTACCGGATTTGATATTGATTTCACTGTTTTGTTATTATGGTTAATTTTGTGACAATCACATCTCGCATAATCTCACATATACTATTTTGCAGAGCCATTCTAAGTAAGTTATATCACAATATATATATTACGGTTAGACAGAAATAACCCCCAAAATGTGCTGTGTGGTGCTTACAGCTGCTGTAAACCTCTAGTCTTTGCTCACATCCACCAGCTGAAGATGATATTACACAGTGTGCTTTTCCTCTCGTGATGACTGTGCTTTGAATGCCCTCTAGATTTGGGCCAGGCTTTGATGAATCAGCCATCCCAATGATCTCTTGTCACTGCCTCATCTGTCATGGGCTTCATTACTGGGAAAGTCATAGAGACTAAAGATTAGACAGGTGTTGTGTGTGCGTATGTATGTGCGTGCATGGGAATGTGTGCGTCAGTTTGCATCTGTGTATGTGCAGTGTGTCTTGTTGGACTGATGTTGAGAGGTACATCAGATACATCCGACTGTAAACTCTCCCCTGGCTAGCAGCTGACATGATCAAAACTGAATATTTACAAATCCTAACTCTCATTTATCTCTGTCAAACTTTTATTAATTTCTCTTACAGACCAGTAGAAATGTGCTTGCCCATTCTTTTGTTCCCTGTCTCCTTTTGTTTCTGGATCTTTATCTCATTGATTCTCTTTATTTTCTTGTGTAACACTCAGTTCTCACTGCTCCGCGTGCTCTTGAAGCAACACTGATGTGGTATCTTATTGTTAGTGAGCTTTCAGGGAGATGCCAGGTCGTTTTGATCGTGGAAAGATCTCAACTTGCTTATCAGCCAATACTGAGTACCAGTCTGATACCTGTGGGTTAAAACAAAATCCACAGTATGAATCAGGTAGCAAGTGGCAACTGTAGTTTTGATCTGTGTTGGGTTAAATAACTGATATGATAATGTGATATCTCGTGCTGATACCCAATCTAGCATTTTAAGCTGTATCGGAAGCATTTCCAATACTCGTATCGGAAGTCTTGATAGGCTACAACTTTTGTGTATCAGAAGACAGTGAATTTTCAGGCAAAGAGATGCATGAGAAAGTGCCTCTGACATTTCAATACACCAGGGCTGAAAACTCTTAGATAAATGAGTGTTTTTTTTGTGTCTACGTAGCATAACTTATCTATTTCCAGTGAGCTGTTGAATGTTATTCAAGAGTGTTTGTGAAATACGATGTTGGTTCCTTATGGCGCATTTCCACCATGGCGCGGTTTAAGCGTGCCGTGTCGTGCCGGGCCCGTTTTTGGTTGCGTTTCCACTATGCCTAGTTCCGGCCCGGGGCTACTTTTTCACCTTTTTTCTGGCCCGACAAAATCGTGGTTCTATCGGAGCCAACAAACAGGGCTGAGTCGGGCTGAGTTTGCTAAACTGGAGAGAGAATCGCTGGCAAGGGGGCTACAACTACAACAAGATGAACATATTTGACCGTGATTTCATTGTAATACACGTTTCAAAATGATCCAGAAGTAACAACATACTGATACCGGTTAGTAAAAACCATGAATTAATGCTTTGTCAAGTCTTCAGACAGACGGCAGGCGAAAAACCTTTTAAAATGCGTGTTTTCTAAATGGAGATTGGCTAAGCTAACGCAATATATGCTCCGACCGTCCACACTCACAACAACGGCCTATACAGACATAAATAAAGCAGCGACTGTATTCGCCATGACACAGACAGTCTGTGGTTTGTACTTGTTTAACTTTTGTCTAGTTTCTGAACAGATATGAGGAGCTGTGAGCTTGAGTGCTAACAGCTAACGGCTGATGTTGTTTTTCTGGGGTGCTCATTGAAGATGACGTCACGGCTCTGCCTACACTAGATACTACCCCAGTTCCTAAACTGTAATGGAAGCGCAGCATTAAAGTGAGCCGGGCCTAACAAGGCCTAACAAAACCGTACTAAGTCGAGCGAGGCCTGCGGTGGAAATGCGCCATTACAGGCCTCAGCAGATCATTTTATTGTGACAAAGCTGTTTAGTCTGAGTCAGGCAGACGTTAGGAAACAGCAGCATTAGGTCATTGAGACTCTTTGTTTTTTTTATGTTTTAGTACCCTACCTTGCACCCAATTAGTACTAAATTGGAGTTTAAATATACCCACGCCCCACCATTCCCACTGGCAAAACATTGACATTAAGGCGCCGTTTACACGAGGAGAAAACTGCTTGTATCTGCATAGTTTCGCGTGCGTATAGCCCTATTATTTACACGAGGCCGATAGAAACTGACCCCACAAACGATAACGGGTCCCAAGGTGGATAGATTTGCAAACGAAACGCTCTGGGGGGTCAACCGAGTCCGTGTAATCACCTCTATACGAATATTTCCTGAAAAAATAACGATAGCCCCACCTCTCCTGCTCACTGCTGTAGCAACTATCAAAAATAGCTGTGTTAATTAAACGCACAAGGGGTTCTTGAATGAAATAATATTATAAAAGGCAAACCAGAATTGTTAACGCCCAATATACTCCTTAAACAAAATAAACAGAGTCAGATTTCATACATTGATCCATTATATTGACAAAGGAGGATCTCACCCGGTATTTGTAGAGAATATCTCTCTGAGCGAGTCCTCTCCACAGAGACATGCTCCTCCTCCTGTCAGTAGCTACTGCTAGTGCTACCGCTACTGACCATGCTACAGATATTAGTGCAAAAATCTACAGCTCCTCTACCACAACCATCAGCAACAAGTGGACATGGAGAATTACATGAACTACATGTTGCTAAATCCACGGCGGGGCGTAAACAGAAGGGTAGCCATGGCAACATTGCTGCGGGGCTGCTGCGGAGTCTTCTTCACTGCTTTTGGTGTATTTTGTGGCGGAAGTTACAGCGCCACTTACAGTCCCGGCATATGTACTACAGCGTTTCCAGCGGTCTCGTTTGAACAGACACGTCAAATGAAACGAATGCATGTGAACGGAAGACTTTTTTGAATACGCATACTGTGCATAAACGCAAACGGTCCCGTGTGAGCGGGGCCTAAGAAATCACATACAGCCATGTTGATCCATCCACATTCTTTGGAAGTCATACACATTACCACAAAATGGGTGTGGTGGTTTCTAGTAGCAAAGGCTATTTACAGTTGTTGACAGTGAGCTGCTAACTGTCACTGGTGTTTCTTTAGACACCTTTCCTTTTAATCCTACTTTAGAGGTAAAGCAACTGTAGGCCATGCCTGTTTCTGACAAAACTGTTGAGGGAAGCCAACTGAAGTGTACTTTGTCATTGCTGCAGTTTTGACAATGAAGAGTCTACTCACACACTTTCTTATCAAACCAGGGTGATGATTCATAAAGCGCCTTTCACTCAACTTGCATATTCTCCTCACTAATAATTATATGTATCAGTACAAGTATTAAACCAGGTCACCATGTTTTGAAAATATGAAGTATTCAATTCTATCCACGGTTCATATGACGCATAGATGACACAGAAGAAATGTGTTCTTGGGAAATACAAAAGAAAAAGTCACAGTGCACCGACCACATTTTTATGCTACAACACTGTGATGACCTCAGCAGCTTTTTCATGTTGCTCTCTGCACCCTTATATCCCAGATGCCCATGGTTGAGTGGTTTCTGGTGCTTTTCTCAGCATGTGCTGTCCATTCTCAACCTACAAAAAAATTCTTGTCAGGCAAGAGGAGAATATGTTATTGTGACAAAAGTCCTGTATCTTTATGGTGTGTATTTGTGTCTCCACAGAGGGAATACCTCAGGTGTACTACTTTGGTCCTTGCGGGAAATACAACGCCATGGTGCTGGAGCTGCTCGGGCCCAGTCTAGAGGACCTGTTCGACCTCTGTGACAGAACCTTCTCCCTCAAGACCGTCCTCATGATAGCCATACAGCTGGTAAGGCCCGGGGAGGAGGAGTGCTGCAGGTGTATAATTACATGAGCTAGCTTTTGTTATTTTAAGATCTACTGAAAATAAAGTGCCACTTTGGCTACTTTATATACATAGTCGAGGGAATGCTAGGGTATGCATTGTAGCATTGCTGTTTTGAATACAAATGTGTATTTGATATTCATTGAAAATATGTTGTACTATAGTTGAATGTAATAGGCTATACTGAATACAGAGCTATATTACACTAAGGTAAAAAAAAATACTTTAAATAGCTTATTTTTATATTTAAAATCTTTGGATAATTGAGCGATTGACATTTTGAATGACTAATCTTGACCTGCTTATTGGGTGTCTAGATTACGCGGATGGAGTACGTCCACACCAAGAGTCTGATATACAGAGACGTGAAGCCAGAGAACTTCCTGGTTGGGCGGCCTGGAAGCAAGAGGCAACACACCATCCACATCATCGACTTTGGTCTGGCCAAAGAGTACATAGACCCCGAGACCAAAAAACACATCCCCTACCGGGAGCACAAGAGTCTGACTGGGACGGCGCGCTACATGAGCATCAACACACACTTGGGAAAAGGTAAGAACATATCTGGAGCAGGGCTGTAGTTTGTTTCGCCCTTTAGAATTGCATTGACACAATTTGCTCACATTTGCATTTAGTTTAATGGAGTCCTAACAGTTATGTGTACGGATACATCAACAACATGCACTCAGCATTGTAAAAACAGAGCTCTTTAAAGCTGATTTTATATACCGTTATTTGTTTAATCATTGAAAATTACTGTACAATAGTAGAATTCATCTTTGTATTTGTTGCTGTTGTTAATCACGTTTTTATAGTTAAACAAAGAAAACAAAACTTGTCTTGTTTTGTCTTTTGTAGTTTGGATGTAAAGGAAAAAAAAACCTTTATCAGGTGTGTTGTAATAATAATCCTAGATGTATTGGGCCATATTGCCCAGCCCTACATTTGGGACACACAAACATGTGAAAGAGTTATTGTTGTTTGTCTGCTCTGGGCTACTGTAGATACAAGTGCAACATGTTGGACTCCATGGAAGAGTGTCCAATTTCTATAAATGATGGGCTCATTTTATAATAATCAGTACATTGATCTAAATTTCAGGAGATTATACATCATAGTGAAAAGTTAGTTAAGGATAATATATATATTCTACTTCTGTGAAAAGATCTTCCTAAATCTTACTCACTCGACGTTAAAGTCTAACCAATCAGCTCAAGAGGTGATTTCCCTGATTAGTTCTTCCCTTCTTCTTGTAAGAGTGCTAATCAGTGAGAGGAAGCCTTCAGACGGTTAGAGTTGCAGGATTTGCCCCCCCCACCCACCCTCTCAGCTTATTCATAGCCTTTTATAATGTACAATTTGAAGTCCTGGATAATTATGTTGCTTTTCATACTGCTCAGCCGCCTGTTAACCTTACCAGCTGACTATACAATGAATTTATTTCACACAGGTAACACCATGTTCTCTTGTTTCTTCCAGAGCAAAGCAGAAGGGATGATCTGGAGGCGCTGGGTCACATGTTCATGTACTTCCTCCGAGGAAGCCTTCCCTGGCAGGGCCTGAAGGTACTTTTTAAGTACTATTTGACATCATCCAAATGTGGGGACATACTGATTTATATTAGTCTCCTGTAACCCTGTTAATGCTTAGAATCGAGATGCACCTTTGCCTGCTGCACTCTTCAGTACATTATCTCTTCTCTAGCTATCATCAGCAAGACCTCAGCGACAAAGAGCTATCATCATCATCCTCCTCCTCTAACACTGGGGACATTTCAAGGTCTCCCCACTGATCCAGCTGTATTGTTTGTTGAACCTAAAAGACCCTCAGAAAAACAATTTAGACCTCTGGGAATGTTTTATATTTCTAAAGTCTAAAGCAAACTTAGAACTACTGTAAATGTGGGTTCCCTTATGCATTTCAACAAAGAAATCCAGCTCCTTGCGTGCAGTGCACTGAGAGAGATAAAAGACAGGAAACACAGGTGTGACGACAGGTGCAAGGAGGGCAGGTTATAGCTGCTGTTTATGGGCTGTCTGCAGGCGTCAAGATCAAAGATGTACAAAGAAAGGACTGGAAGACACGACGCCTCATCTGAACATTTGCTATGTGGGAGGAAGCTCCTGGTAGATGACTGTGGGGGATGTCTGGTGGCTCGAGCCAAAACTAGTTTTCACCAACACACATCATGACGGTTAGCATCAAAATACAATGAGGAGTAGAGTGACCAGACGAAGTATAACAGCACAATGCTACAGGCTCAGTGTAGTGAGGATAATGGGTTAACATTAGCAACACTAGACTGCTGATGAACTGGTGTGATGATCATTTGTTTGACGGTTGATGAAGTGCAACCATTTTAGATGCATTGAACTGGTGTAAAGTGGGTCTATAGAATGACACTGCGATACGCAAATGTACCACTTCATTAAAATCATGTTTCCCAAGAAGACTTTCTGAAAAGAATGCTTCCTGTCAAAGATGAGATCAAATGTACTTTATTGATCCCAGGTTGGGGAAATGTTTGCGTTGCAGCAGCATAAAAAACAAGGCATTGCCCATAAATAGAAATTAAAAGAGTAGAAATAAACAATTCTAAAATGTAAACATGTCAAAATATAAATAAAACGGCATTAAAAAGATAGAAAATCTATAAACTATCTGGCGAATAAAACACTATTAAAGGGCCAATTTTCAGTTAAAGAAAGGGTCGCCCTAGTTAGAGAAACAATGAAGGAACATGATGAGCATTATCTAACACCACAATCTCTCTGCCTTGTTGTTGTTGTTGTTGTGACAAATACAGACGTTTGCATTATGAGATCTGAACTTCTATTTTTGAGTTGTTGCTACATTTTCTGGTAAAAGTGGTGTAGGATTGTGCTGAATGAGTGTTCCTGTTTTTTCTGGTAACTGGGTGAAAGTCTGAAGTGTCTTGGAAGACAAATAGACACAAGCAGCAGCCCTTAGTGCTCTTCATATCTGTGTTTTGTCTCAATAATTCAAAACGAGCAACCTGGATTTGCATCTCCCTGTGAGATAATTGCCTCATATAAAACACATTTGAATACTACACCCATTTGTTTAAACTGCCCACCACACTGTGTATTTGTGTTAATTTGAGTGTAATATGCCCTTTTTCTTGTCTCCTTTCAGGCGGACACTTTGAAGGAGAGGTATCAGAAAATCGGGGACACCAAACGAGCGACACCCATTGAAGTGCTTTGTGAAAGCTTCCCTGGTCAGTAGAACCAAACAGTTTCCTTTTGTTTTCCATTTAATTTAATTTCGGTCTTATTCAACCAGATTGCAAGTTAACGTTTTCTCCTTTGCTACAGAAGAGATGGCCACCTACCTGCGCTATGTGAGGAGGCTGGACTTCTTTGAGAAGCCGGATTATGACTACTTGAGGAAGCTCTTCACTGATCTGTTCGACAGGAACAGCTACGTCTTTGACTATGAATATGACTGGGTCGGCAAATCACTTGTGAGTGCCACTTACTGAAACAACTCATCCTTACCCTCTTCCTTTGATTAGACAGCCAAGTCTTTCAGACTGTAGTTGATTTATTGTTCTTACTGAAAAACATTGTCAATTAGATCATAACCAAGTCATTTTGCAAACCCTGTCGCATTAAAATGGCTCACATTATGGGGGTTCGATATTTACATTTTGTCTTTATTTCTCTTTAGAAGGGACAGTTCACCCCTGAATGAGTAATACAAGTTTTCCTCTTACCTGTAGTATTATTTATTAACAAACATTGATAAAAGCAGCAACAAGTAAACATTAGCCCCTCGTCCTTCCTTGTTTCTTCTCATACGGCTGGGGGGGTATACATCTGTAAACAGTTCCTAGATTAAACTATTAACAACTGGGTCATGATCTCAGAAAGAGATATTACTCTTGAGTGTGTATCTGAGAGAATGCAGGCATTTCTACAGTAGAACTCAGACATCTCAAGCCCTTTACAACTCGGTTTTGGGTTAAACTGTCCCTTTTTAATGGTCTGAATTTTGACACTGTTGGTTTCATTGTCTTACCTACAGCCCACACCAATAGGCCCTATCCCCGGTGACACGCCCCTGCAGCCCAGCAGCAGAGACAAAGCACAACAGCAGACCAAAAACCAGGTGAGGCCATCGGCAGTAAAACACAACAAACATCACACCCACCAACCAATCTGTCAAGCAGCCATCTGACCGACCAACCAGCCGGCCTGGTCATTCAGGTTCCTCTGCCAGGCTTCTTTTGTTCTGTCCAAGTGTAATGAACTTCCTCGAGAAAATGGCTGCCGTTCAGTTCCACTTCTCCTTGATTCATGTTCCTGTCTACAGCCCGACTGCTGGGCAGTGACATCACCTTCCCTGAAAGTCTCAGTCGGACAATATTGATGCTTTACCAGTAGATGAGTCGACGTGCACGATCATGAGGCAGTTTCTCCTCCAGCTGGGAAACAAAGCACCGTTTTCAGCTTCAATTTATTCTTCACACCTTGCCACTCTAAGCTCCAGTCATTGCATGCATGAGTTGAAAATGCAATTTGCATTGTTCATACCAGTAATGACAAGCTATATGCTTAGTGTGTGACAAAGTGTTGAATTTATATATTTGTTTTTTATTTAGTCCTTTTGTTAGCATGCTATCCGAGCCTTGTTCTTTGGTTGTTCAGTGAAAGGGTAGATCATTATAAAGAAATCCTTCTGATAGACGCAAAACCCGGAAATCAGGTTGTTTTACTTGATGAGTCTGACTCATTGTTTCCCGTACAGCCACAAAGGGAGTGCATTAGATTTTATGATTAGACTCTAACCTCTTTTTACGGCTCTCCATGTTACAAGATTGGCTGGGCAACGTCTTGCCACCCTTTTGAACCTCACAAAGCACCGCCTCCAGTTCACAGCACATTTCCCATGACTGTACGAACCTGTAGTTTCAGGTTATATTTATTGATTATTAAAGTATAGAGTCAATTTGAATGTCTGCAAATAAAATCACAATGTTAAAAAAAATTACTGTTATTTAAACCTGTGATGTTGTTACTCAAATTCTCAATACAGTAGTAGTATTGTGTGTCTGTGTTGAATATGCAGAGCTAGTTGAGGGGATCAAGGCTGTTTTCTTTTACTCCTGCATGACTTTGACAGTGTGTTATTCTGTGCTTCGCATTAAATTGAGCTTCCCTCTACTCCTCTATTAACATAGTTTGTCTTAACAAGCCTGCTTCTGCTTGGAGGATGTCTTCTTTAATTTTTTTGTTTTTGTTTTCATTCACTCCCCTTCCTCCTTGTCCCTCCTCCCTCAACACCTCTACCCTCACCCCCCCTCCCACCACAACGTTGTCTCGCCCTCACCCCACAACCTTCCCCCCACTCCTCCTCCTCACCACTTCACGAACACCTGCCTCAACCCTTTTTGCTCTTTGCGTCAAGTCGCCTGAGCCCAAAGGAAGTGAGTCTCAGCCCACTCCAGTGACCAATAAGGAGACTCTGGGGTCGCACCTCACAGCTGAGCGGCTGGGGGGCTCTGTTCAGGTACTGCTGCTGCTGCTGCTGCTGCTGCTGCTCTGGTGGCTAATGCATGAAACCACATTGTTCTGTATGTGTCTGACCCCCCCCTCTCACACTGAATCTGCACTGCCTGCCTGTCAGGTGCTCTCTGTCTTTCTCCTTCTCTCTGTCTCTCTCTCTCTCTGTCTCTCTCTCTCTGTCTGCATCCCACAGTTTGAATCCCTGTGTGTCAGTGCTTTGCTTGTTCTGTTCGCACTCACTGCTTCCTTCGTCTCATCTGCTGTGCAGGCAGCCCACAGGAAGGGGCATGCAAAGATGGCATTTCAAAGTGACTGTCATGCAAACCTCATAAAATGAAGAATCTTAAATCATTAGAAAACACATTATTAATTGATAAGCCAAAAGCAGATTAGATGTATATTTGTTTTTAAATTCCCTAAATAGAATTCTGGTAGAGCCATCTACATGAAATGAAAAAATCTTGAACTATGTTAACTTAAAAAGGCCAATTGTATGCCTTTTTTTTTAAAAGCAGTGGCTTCTGTAGTAATTGTGGAACAAATATGCCACCTACTGTTGGCTTATAGAATTGCAGCTTTAAAGGGATATGTTCAAAATGTTCACGTGTTTTTTACAACAGTATTTACGTGCTCTTATACACAAACCAAAATAGATGTTACCATTCCTCCTGTACTAATACTAAGCATATGAGGGACATATTTAAAGACCTTTTTCATATTTTCTTTTTATCTGAAGCTAATGAAACGCTTCAGCAGTCAGAGTTTGTTCAATTTGGGGATTTAAAACTTTTTGAGGGACACGTTTCAGTTTCAGTTTAATTACATTTCATTTGAGTTCAACAGTAGCAAGACTGGCAAAGTCGGACTAAATCCAGACATTTAAACTCACCAGTCTACAGCTCACTTACACTAAGTGCTTCAACTTTAAAACATTGGACTTATTGCTGTGAATCTTAAAGGTAATTTGAATCAGGAGGACTGATAACAGCAAGCCTGTTTCAATGTCTATGTGGGCACCTAACTTTTGTTTTAAGACAAACATGAAAAAATGGGAGCCTAAGCTTTGAATTTATGTGAAGTTTCTGTGAAGGTTTCATGCTGAGGATCTCCTTATCTGAGAGTTAAACAAGGTTACAAATGTGTATGTGAGCGTTCATCCCCACCCTGCTGTCAGTGCTTCTCAGTATATCTGTTTGATTATTCTTGTTTCCTGTTTGTCCTCGTGCAGGTGATGAGTTCAACAAATGGCGAGCTGAACACTGATGATCCCACAGCCGGACACTCCAACGCTCCCATCAACGCTCCCACCGAGGTTGAAGTGGCTGACGAAACCAAGTATGAAACCGCTGTCCCAGCAGTAGGGTTGGGGTTTAATAGCATTTTAAAGATTCTAAATACCGGGGTCAATTTGATCTCAGAAAACATTTTTTTATTTTCTCAATCTTGATTTGATTACTCCCCTTCCCAGACGTTATGAAGGAAGCGTTACTCACTTATCTGAACTGACCTTGTGATAAAATACATGTTGTATGTTACTTCCTGATCTACATTTTACAAACAGTTGTGCAGCATCCAAAACCAATCCATTTAGCCTGAGAGTCTACTTTTTGTTTTAGTCAGACTCTGGATTGAATTATTTTAATTATAAAAATGTATCTCTATTATCTCACTTAAGTAGTCTTTGTCAGGCCATGTTTATTTGTAAAAAGCAGATTAGAAACGGGGTTTAGATGGCCAAGACTCTGCTTTCTCTAGGAAAAATGTATCGAAGGAAAATTAGAAATGTCTTATCCACTAGCTCAACTACGGAAACTAGGTTTCTTGTTTTACATGACGATAACTAACAGACTAATTGGAGAAAGCATGTAAATGCACTGAACGTTTTCTACATTGCTCTTTGCTTATTATGAGGTGAAGGTTGATGGTAGGTGATTCAGTGCATGAGCTATTGAAACCCAACCCTAACCAGCAGTGTGTTAAACGCTTTTTTGATAAACAAATATATTTTGTATGGATGTGTCTCAAATTTTTTTATTTCTTAACTGAAAGTGTTCCTTTGTTGTCCTGCAGGTGCTGTTGTTTCTTCAAAAGGAGAAAGAGGAAAGCCCTCCAGAGGCACAAGTGAAAGAAGAGCACAGAGACAAGTTGAAACATTGTGGTCACTGTCAAGTTTTAAATGGAAGCAACTACACAGACTCCCCCTCTGTCCCCTATCTCTTTCCAGCTTCCCCCTCACCTCTTTATCCCTCTCACCTTATTCCCACTATCACTCTGTACCCCCCCCCCCCCCCCCCCCCCCTCGCGCTGTCTCTTTCTCGTTCTCAGTGCTCCCTGCTACTGGCGAGTTTAAGGAATGTTGCAGTCCTACTGACTCCACAACAGACTCTTGATTCCTTTATCGACGAAAAATAAACGTACCTGCATTACAACGGAGGCTTGAGAAAAAGTTTTAAAAAAGGCTGTAACAATGAAACTCGAATACCGTGGCTTGAATATGAAAAAAAGATACTGTTTGAAACAGTTGTGTATTCTAGATTCCATATGAGCGCGTGTTGTCAGCTGTTGATCAGGGGAACCATTCGAGTGGTTCACATGAAAGAAATCTGCTCCTTTTAGGATTTTCTTTTCTTTTCTTCCTTTGGTGTGTGTTTTGGGATCAAGGTAAAGAGGAAAAGGTGAACTATGCTGATGTTAAATCTGAGCGACACAGGAAGCATTTCATCTCTAAAACTGAATTTGGAGGATTTTTATGTTTTTCTTTTTTTTGTAATTGAATCCTCAGTTTTCAAAATCAAATCCCTGCATTGAAAACTTATTTTTATGTTGTAGTGTTCTGGAGTTCCATTTGTTTTCTTCACTCTGGCTTTCTTTCTGTCTGTCAACGTGGACTTTGTAGCACAGTCACTGGCCTCAGGTACTGTGGGAGATCGAGAGAAACAGATATTAAGCTCTCTTATTATTATTGCACTTTTGGAAAAAAGAAAACAATTACAGTGGAAAACTTAAGGGTTTGAAATTAACAATTAAGAAAAACAACCTAATAAAGACTGATCTAGGGAGAGTCCTTCACAACGCTTATATCTGAGTTATGGAAAAATGTTGTCGATTTACATGAAGAAAAAAAAGGATATGTCTTTCCATTTTTATTTCTTAAATCAAAAATAATTTACCAGGAAATCATAGTTTGTGCCTTTTTAAGTAAAATGTTTAAAGCTCAATTGAGTGTCCCGCAATGAGATTTTATCTAATCTGTCCCAAATGCTCACTGGATTACTGTGTCTGTGTGTGTTTGTGTGTGTGTGTGTGTGCAAATGTGGAGGTTTTTGTAAGTTAATGTTTTTAATGGCTGTGTGCACACCATTTGATCTAACATAATATTATACATCCCTTCCCCCTGACAATGAAAAATCGACACATCTGTACAGTTGTGTTGTTGGGTCTGGAAAGAGATCTTGATTGTCTGTGTGTGAGTGTGTGCGTGCTGTCTGGTATGTTTGAACTATTGTTTCTTTTTGTCAGGAGGTCACAGTCAGACATGGCCTTAATGAGGTTTCTTGTTTGTGAGCTACATCCACAGACTGTAAGTGGCTACATCGTCTCTGAAGTGAATGGGCTGCTGTTTGTTTCTGAGCCTGATAACAAAGGAACCTTTCCAAAATTCAAAATGCACTGAACTGTAACAAAAAAACATTTTCCCTTTTGAGTTCCTTGCTGCTGCTGTAGTTCCTTGTAGAGCTGCAAATGAGTTGAACATTCTCACATTTGAAAACCTTGAACCATTCAATGCTTGTAATTTTTCAACAAAAAAAAAGAAGTTATTTGACTTATAGAATGTTTTTGCAATCCTTTATTTTTAATCGACTATAATTGTTGAAGCTCTAGTAACGTGTACCTCTTTGATCATTCCTTTTTAGTTTTCAGGCCAAGATGTATGTCTGTCTCTGCCTGTGTTCAGGATTGTTTTAAATCCCCCCCTGAAGTGTCTAGCCCATCAGAGATTGCAACGTTTAATGCCTTTAGTTATTTAGAGTACTCAAGCTATGTTAATATTGAACATGCATAAAAATGGGGGACTCGAAACAGATTAATACACTACTACTTATGTAGTAGTAATAGTAATTACTTACATATTTGACTATATATGAACAGATTATTTTTTAAAACAGGTTTAAATCAAAGCAGCAGCAAGTTATTCTTAGAAACGGGGTCCAGAAAACACTGATCCTACATTTCCCACAATGCAGGTGGGTGGTATCTTTCATACACCTTTCCTGCCACTTTAAACCCAAAATGTCCAGTTTGTAATGCAGGCTTTTTGTAAAAAATGTTATGTGTCAAGCCCAGATTTTTTTCAGCCTTTACAAAGCTCCACCCCAGAACTGAATTACTCAATTTTTGTGAATGAGTGCCCTTTAAAAACACCGCCTGAGCCTCAAGAGCATTCAACTTAAACTAACCCTAACCCATACCATGATCACTATAACCTGTGTAATGAAAAGGAAGTTAAGGTGTTTTTCCACTTACAAACCCAAACACAACTGCCATGTAAAAACAAGAAATATTTACACATTTTGCTTGCATTTAATCTCATCCTCCTTATTTGTTGTTTAAGTGTCTGCAAATCATTTTGTTTAAGTTATGAAGGGGATATGTTTGTTTGTGTAAGCATGATTAAGAGGACTAAAGTGGGTTTGAATCACTCGCCATGTGAAGAACAGAAAGAGGAACCAACTGTGTTTGGTAACGGTGTTGTAACTCACGAGTTTTCACAGTTCATGACCACCGCTTTGTTATTGATTAATGTTACCACACCGGAGGCGTGTAGTCTGCTTTAGAGACAGGACACATCTCCGGATGCTGCAAGGACGCGCGCCAGCAGTGCGCCTTTACGCGTGAAGTCCTAGGTGTTAACGTTGATTTAGGTGCCGCTCATAGCTGAGAAGAGCTTTTGTTGGCGCATTAATTATTCATCTGAAAGATTAACAGGTTCAGCTGACCAGCATGGGGACCCAGCCTGACATAATCCATTACATTGCGATTTATTATATGATTAACAATTAAGGATATTTTTGGAGATGCTCAGAACAAGGTTGAACTGTGTTTTGCTCTGTTAGTGTAACTATTTGCATTATGTATTTGTAAATATGACAACGACAGATCTCTTATTGTGAATAAAGGAAGTTTTATCACAGGAGTCAAATCAATCATGGAGCAGTTTGTGCCTGCTGGTCGCTCTCTGTCAGCCTGCAGAAGGGTTTGTTTCGCTGCAGGACATTTCCTCAACGACCTGTGCTCCTCCATGTGGTTCACCTACCTGCTGGTCTACCTCCACTCCGTGCTCGGCTTCCGGAGCACCTATGCAGGTGTGTTGCTGCTGATCGGGCAGATAGCTGACGGGGTCTCTACGCCTTTGGTTGGATATCAATCCGACAAAACATCGTGCTTCTACGGCAAGAGAAAAACCTGGCACTTGTTTGGTAAGTAGTAGGCTACCCGAGAAAATGTTTTGACTTAAATAAAAGTACAGATCTTCATCAAGTAAAGCCTAATACTGCAGCTTAAAGTCCTTCTTTTAAAACTTTACTCAAGTAAAAGTAGGCTAAAAGTTTGTCATCATAAATATGCACTTGATGTTAGCAATCATGCAAAGGTGACTCTTACCGGGTTCATATGTTATATTACATATTATTGGTGAAACATTAATCTGTGAACATCACATACATTTTGCAGTGAATAGCCTAAATAATAATTGATTAGTTCATATTTTCTATCAAAAGTCTCAATCTGCAGATAAATAAATGTGGTGGGGTAAAGATACATTTTTTTTATTCTCAAAATGTAGTAGAATCTAATCATTCTTAAAAATAATAAAACAATCCGCTTTTTGTTTCCCAGGAACGATTTGTGTCCTTGTTTCTTTTCCATTCATTTTCAACCCATGCCTGGCCTGTAACGACAGCACTCCTCAGTGGGCTCAAATACTTTACTTCTCACCCTTCATCATCATCTTCCAGATCGGATGGGCAGCCACTCAGATCTCTCACCTCTCCCTCATCCCGGGGCTCGTGTCCAGCGAGAGCGACAGGGTGGAGCTCACCGCGTACAGGTGGGTGACGTCATCACGTAGACACTCGGGATTGAAAATGAACAAAAAAGTTTTATACCGACTTTTCCTTTTAAATATATGATATTTATATATATATGTGTATATGTGTATATGTATATCTCCTATCCTATATTTAAAGTAAAAGTCGGTTTGACAATTTTTTTGAAAAAAAAATAAAGTTAGGCTACTCCTCACGAAAACATTTTCCAACTTAACATCTCTTGCGTCTGTCAAAAACAGCTAAACTTTGGTTATGTATGAACTAAACAAACAATAGCTTAGATGTGATGGAATCCAGACAGAGCCCGGCTAGCTGTTGAAAGGCTAGCCGTGTCCAGTTTTCACTAAGTAATAGATTACTGGCAGACCTACAGACACAGGCCTGTGCCCCCCTGGCCTTCACCCCCCTGGCCTTCACCTACAGAATGTCACTCGGAGACAAAAAATGACTACACAGATAAAAACAGCTGCAAAGAGACTTACACAACTACTAAAAGCTGAAAAAACAAACATGAAGTCATAGGCGGCTGGTGTGGCTCAGGATAGGGAAGGCTAATATTTGACAAACTTGACTAACTTGACTAACTTGTAACGTAGCCTACTTGTTTGAAGCACCACAGAACACGTTATTGTGTTTATTTGCACCAACTGAACAACAATTATTCATAGCACAGGAGCCACTAGGGGCTGGATGTTTATATCAGGTGCCAACGAATTTGGACTCAACAAAGGTTATTGCCAAAGGGCGCTAACAAACAACCACTATCTGAATAATGGTCACCACAGAAATTATCTGTGGACTTACTGAATTCGGTTGCTGTCTCATCTAAATTCTGAGAGTTGCAGCTTCACCTTATGAGGAATCTCTGATGCAGAATCAACCTTTTGTTGAAACACGCAGTCACATTTTTCTATTCAGGCGTCAAAGCTTGTGTGACTGCATGGTTCCTCTCTGATCAATTGGTTAACAGTGGAGCAAAGTTAAACTCCTTATCATTATGTCCTTTAGAACATTTCCTGGTGATTATACTGTAGGCTACATAAGTTTGATAGAGCAACAACATTTGCAGTTCACAGTAAGCTTTAACAGTTCAGCAACGGTATCAGGAATACATAGACAGATGTGGTAATGATGTCTGCAAAATGACCTTTTGTCAAAGTCATCACATGAAAATGAACAGTTTTCAGAGTGGAATATTTTTTATCGTTCTGTATCTGAAATCATGAGGGTCAATTCTTCCATCAAATCTTCAAGGCTTCCTACCCAATCTCTCCTATTTCTTAGGTGCAACCCTCATCTCATTCCCACCAAAATGCTGTCCAAACTATAAGACCAGGTGTAACAGTAAAACATAAAATGATATCCCTTTTTGTGTAGGTATGCCTTCACTGTGGTGGCCAATATCACCGTGTACAGTGTGGCCTGGCTGCTCTTTCGCTTCCAGGCTCAGAACAATATGGACACCTCCATCTCAGACAGCCTGGGCAAGGTGGACACCCCCCTTTTCAGAGTAAGAGGATAGAGGCAGTCAGAGAGGTAACACACTTGTGCAATTATTGGGTTACTATTTTTAACTAATCTACCGCTCGCTGTCTGTAGACTCTGGCCCTGGTTATGCTGGCTACTGGAGCTTTATTCTCTATGGTATTCCACATCGGTACTAAAGAGGAGGTGACAGATTCAAGGAGTGAAAATCAGAGGATCCTACCGCCAACCTCGCAGGAAGAGTCGCCTGGTCTTGTGTTTCAGTGGAAGCATTGGCTGAAGGAGCCGTCCTTCTACCAGGTGAGTCCAAAATCTGAGCGGCTGTTTTTTGTTTGTGAATGTACTTTTCCTGTCATACCCTGATCCATTAGCTTACATTCATTGCTCTATGTTCTGAATCATATTAGTTAAAGTTACACTTGCATTATTAGGTGTTGCAGAATTTTCAAATTAAGCTGCATAACCACCAATAATAATGATCTAACCTGAGCAAATCTAAACTTCGTCAAACGTGACTGATTTTGGCCCGACGTCAAATCTCAAAATAGTACGATCACTGACCAAATTAGTTCAACAACTCCAATGCAAAAAACCACTGAATGTCTTGTTAATTTATTTTTGTATTACATATTTCCTCATATAATTAGTTTGATTAATTTTAGACTCCATTTTAAAGGTAGGGTAGGTAAGTTTGAGAAACCGGCTCGAGATACACTTTTTGTTATATTCCATGGAATGCTCTTAACATCCCGATAGCAATGAATATCTTAAGTGCTTTGACAAAAAATCCATAAAGAAATGTCATCTGTGGAAGCCGTAATACTGTAAAAAGCACGACCAATCATTTTAGCCGGCCCAGCTAAAATAACTGGATGGCCTACCTGCCTGTCAGCCTTCCATCTGTGCACAAACTTATCTCGTGCTCTCATTGGTCATGTGCGCGTTCGTGTGTGTTGGAGGACGGGCTCTATAAGGAAGTGGCAGATTTTCTCCGGTTGTGTATTTTCAAATTCTAGCGATCTCGAGCCGGTTTCTCAAACTTACCTACCCCACCTTTAATCAGCTTTATTTTAAGAAAATAAAATGTTGTAGAGAAATCTTCCTTGTTTTTCTTTTAATAAATGTAGCAGTGCTTTAAAGCACAATTTTGAAATCTTAGAATCAATACTGAAACATTATTGAGAAATACAAACAATAGCAGCCTTTACTTTAATCAATTTCACGATGCAGTAAGATTAAAGAGTGTGCCAAACCATTTTTTTATTTTTACTAGAAAAAGAGTCAAAACTAAACAAATGAATGAGTATAAAATGTGAAGCTGTGTATGCATACATTCAAAATGGTTAACACAAATGTCAATTCTGTTTTCTTTGTTGGATTTTGCACCAGGTGGCTTTTCTGTACATGTGCACCAGGTTAATAGTCAATTTATCCCAGACCTACATCTCAGTTTACCTCACCAACTCACTGATGTTACCAAAGGTAAGATTACACAACTAATTATGTGAATTAACGTCCGTGTAGAAAAATAAATAAAAAATGTCCTCTCTCTTCAGAACTACATTGCCATCATACCTCTGGTGATGTATGTCAGCGGCTTTGTTTGCTCTCTGGTTATGAAACCAGTCAGCAAGCGCATGGGAATCAGTGTGAGTCTCTACCTAACAAGATCTGTTAACATGTTAGCCATAACTTTTGTTTTATTAACTCATGTCTGTTGCATGATAAATTAGTGATTTGAGAGAAAGGTTGTATTGAAATTATGAATGTGTTTTGTCTCAGATTACCTATTTAGTCGGCCTGTTGTTGGTAGTTGGCTTCGCCGTCTGGGTGCTTGTGGACAAGAGCATGGGAGCTGAGACGATCTACGGAGCTGCCGTGCTGCTGGGAGCCGGTTCAGCCTCGATCCTGGTCATGTCCCTTTCCATGACGGCCACTCTCATCGGGGAGCAGACGGTAGGGAACCAGCAGCACTTTATAGCTTTGTAGAAGAGTCCACAAATAATGAATTCCTCCTATCCACAATATCTGTTGTTATCAAAAGGCTGATATTTCTTATTCCTCTGTCATAAAGCAATGGTTCTCAACAATTTCAGTTAGCGACCCCCACAAAAATAGTCATGTTGGTGTAAGCGCTCATGTAAATCTACTGATTGTTCATAAACTGTCTGCACATGTAGTGGTAAATGCAATAATGTGTGACTTCTGCTTGAGTAACATTTGCTTAAAACTAGAACAGCCAGATGAATAAGGAAATAAGAGAGCACTTCATTAATTTAGTGGGAATGCTGATACAGCATTCCAACTATATGTTATTCAAAATCTTAATTCCGCCCGTTATTTTGCCGGTCTTCTTCTCCCACATTCCACATTGCAGAAACTCCGTTCGAACATCAAAACGTTCAGCTCGGTCGGGAATCGATGGCTATTACTTTTCTCATTCATAACTTTCATAATTCCCGAGATATATCCCATGATTCATCACATTTTTAACCATTGAAGTCAATGGAGAAAATCTTCAGACTTGAACAATCTTCATGTGACTTCAACTGCTAACTGTTCCTTCCTTCATACTTTCACTCAGAAACCTCATTCGAACTTTAAAATGTCACATCTTTCTGACATTATTCGTGTAACACATCTTTTAAATCTGATTCTTACTTTTAGAGATATTAAACATTGTTCAGACCTTGGTACAGAGGCCTTCTTCAGATTTTAACATTAACTAGAGTGCGTGATGTCACAGCTAGAGTGTAGGAAATCTTGAAATTTGCCTTCATATTTTTTTTTAAAACTGCCATAATTCCCAAACCCTACATTCCTGAGACATACTTTTTCATGACAAACGTAGGAAAACATCTCTTAGCTTGAAAGATGACAAATAATTAAGCAAAATAATTAAACAAAATGCCTCTTGAGGGCATGAAGTGACAACAACTTTCAACATGTCTCCATTAAAGCCCATTGTAATTTCAGGCTGATATTTCCTCACAGCAGCAGCCGCACACCTTTAGTTAATCTGCCAAAAAGGCCACATTATTGACCCGAAAGTACACAAAAAGCACACTTCAGATACTCAAGGTCCTTGAGATGCTTCCCGCTTTCTAATTTCACCGATATCTGTTACGGACCGTCTACACAGCAGCGTTAAAAAAATCTTGAAACGCTTCTGCCCATTCACTTTGAATGGGGTGACGTGACTTTCCCTCACTTTTCGCCGAACTGCATTGTGGGCAGGCGAGCGGAGATTTTCAGGATTTTCAGGATTCAAAGTTGAACAATGTTCAACTTTTGAGGCTGAGGTGGAAGCGTCAGCCAATCAAATCCCGTGTACGCAAATCTGACAGTCAAACGGCGTGTATGCTGGGAGAGACATACCGCAGGTCATTTCCTCATATTCCAAAAAATGGAGGAGAAATTAGCGGTAGGGAATCACCCGGTGCTTTATGACCAGTCCCTATTTACCTACCGGGATATAAACCGGAGGAGCCAGGCATGGAGGGAGGTGGCAGAGACAGTGGTATGTTTTTCGCCTGTTTGGGGAGTTTATATCCAGTTTACTTCAAACTTTTTTGCTTCGTATGTCGCGGGCGGGAGATTCATGTGATTGGTTGTTCGCAAAAAATCCCCAAGCTTCAGATACGCCCACCTCCAAGATTTTTTTAACGCTGCTGTGTAGACGGTCCGTTACGGTTCTTCAACAAAACGTTCACATGTAAGAGGTTTATCTCTCATTCAGAACAATGGAAACCTTTGATCTCTGGACACCTCGTTAGCTCAAATATAAACACCTGTGTCATGGAACACGATGATGTTATAACTCCAACTGACATGCTCAGAACAGCAGACTTCAGATAATGGTTAATGGTCCTGCCCTCAACAGCTCTACGTCAATTATGGGGTGTCATCATATGCCGTTTCCATGGAAACGCATCCCTCGCCATAAAAGACGATGTCGCTATATCTCCTATGAAAATGTTCAAAAAGTGCTCAAACTTCACATGTGTGCTAACAGTCCAGCCGTGAAGACATCTACGGGACAGTTTTGAGATTTCTTCAAATGCCGTTACAATGCTCGCCATGAAACACGGTTTTCTCATAACTTCAGTGAAAATGCTCCAAATGGCCCAAAACTTCACAGGTTTGGTAACGATGCAGCCATCAACGCATCTAAGCGTATTATGGGGTGTCATCAAATGCCGTTGCCATGGCGACAGACCACTCGCCATGAAACACGATGTCGCTGTAAGTCCAATGGACACGGTCCAATCGTCCCCCAATCTTCACTTGTATATCACCGGTCCATGCCTCAACAGCTCTACGCCAAATCTGAGATCTCACCATATGCCGTTTCCATGGAAACGCATCCCTCGCCATAAAAGACGATGTCGCTATAACTCCTATGAAAATGTTCAAAAAGTGCTCAAACTTCACATGTGTGCTAACAGTCCAGACGTGAAGACATCTACGGGACAGTTTTGAGATTACTTCAAATGCCGTTGCCATGGCAACACAATGCTCGCCATGAAACACGGTTTTCTCATAACTTCAGTGAAAATGCTCCAAATGGCCCAAAACTTCACAGGTTTGGTAACAATGCAGCAATCAACGCATCTAAGCGTATTATGGGATGTCATCAAATGCCGTTGGCATGGCGATAGATCATTCACCATCAAGTTAGTTCAAAAGTTTGAACTAACAGAGTTCAGATATTCTGCTGCTTTTTCAAGCCTTTTTACTTTCTTTTCTTCTCTCATCACATTCAAGCCCCCAGTGTTCATGCATCATTTCAATCTAAATTCTTCACTTTCTTCTTACACATTACATTTCAGCATAGCAGTTTAGCGTCAGCTTTTCAGCATAAAGCATTCCCACTAGCAATTTCTTCAGGAATTGCATTCTCTCGTTTGAATTGGTTTTTACTAGTTTTAAAGATGTACACAAACAAAGGGGCTTGTGATTGAGAGACATAAACAGGATGGGAAAGTTGAAAAGTAGTGAGAGGGAGACATTGTTAGTGTTGATCATGTCTTGGGATTTGTTGGCCAAAGAAAATAGAATAATGCTAATCCATCAGAAAACAAATATTTAAAATCAGAAGTAAATACAAAAGTTAGTTTTACTTTGAGGTTTAGGTTCAAGAGAAATGATTTCTAGATACATCTCGTCACAAGGCCAAACACAAACAGATACCTTCTTGTTTAAAATGTCACGTCATAATCAGCCAACCATGCAGTCACAGGAGAGTTAACTGAGGATCTTCAGTGTACTAAACCTGTGTTGTTATACTACGAATATTTAACCAGTCCGTTCATTCTGGTGCCACCCGATCACAGTCATGTTGGAGGAAGCTTTTGTAAAGCTGTCAGCTGTGAAATTAAATGGGAGGGTTTGTAGTTGTTGGTTTGCATCAGAGCACTTTTTACTGCCTCTCGTCCTTTTTCACTCACTCTGAAAATAATCGAATGTATGTTTTATTCACAGAGATATAATAATCTCCAATATCTTTCTTGTTTGGCAGGGAAGTGCAGCCTTTGTTTATGGATCAATGAGCCTCACAGACAAGTTGGCAAATGGTCTTGGTGTCCTCCTCATCCAGAGCACACGGCCATGTGGGTGAGTCTCTCCTCTGCCATTTAGAAGGCCTTTCAACTGATTCTATGAAAATGTTTGAAGGAAGCTGCAGTAAAGGACAAGGCCCTTTACTACAGACTGATAAACCACTGTCTGTTTTTACTTCCCAAATATGACAGCTGTTTTACATGTGAATGGTCTCACTGTCCCTTAAAGCTGCAGTTCTTCCCCTTTTTTCGCTAGTGGACCCTTAAGTTGAAGCAATATCTCCTTGTAGTAAATAAATATGCCTTTGTGTAGCGGAATTTCGTTTTTTTCTTAAGCCTTGTAACATACAGTACAGTATAAAACTAAAAAAGGCAATTTGAGAGCGCAGACATCTTTCAAGGTAGTTTCCGCAAGTGAAAGTCAAAAGACAACACTGGTCTTTAAGTTAATTTGAAGTGTATTTGTCTTTATCTGGCCTTAGCTAGTACAGTATCACCACAACACAGCGGGTTAATTAAGGACATCATTGTCTGTGAACTTGCAGTAAGGAATAACAGTTTGTCATTTGCGAATGATTAAAACACAGCATTTCTTAAAGATGTGAACGTTTCAATCAAAGTATCCTATGTGATTCAGATCCGTTCCAAAATGTAATGGGTTCTTTCTCGACCCGTGCTTCACATTTCCACCAAGATTCATGAACGTCTGGCCAGATGGAAATGAATCAACAGTAAACAGAAACCATGACCTCCTAGGCTCAGTCAATAACATATTTGTTAAGATGTGAAAGGATCCAAGCGGCTTTATTAATTGCAGTGGAGTCTACTTGCATCTTAGCTGTTTTTTTATGTCAAAGTTTTACAAAAGCTTTACCCATTGTCTTTTTCTTTCTCTCTAACAGCACAGAGGCCTACTGCCCAGACTGCATTTGGTTTTATCGTGACATCATGGTGTCGGTAACCGGGGGCGTGGGCGTGGCTGCAGCACTGTGTCTGTGCACGATTCTATTCCGGCCAATCAGGATACGGAAAAGTTAGGGCTCAAAATCTGCACTACACTGATTGGTAGTGATTGTCTCATACATGTGCACACAGAGAAAACACACTTTCCAAAGATTTAATAACCTTACATAATATTGTCGTAGAGGCATGTGTTTAATCCTAGATCTTTCTTCAGATGTTTCTGTTTAAATCCAGTATTATAATATCAACTGAATACAAAGCACATTTGTATTTAAGGTCTTAAGATTGAAAAGCTTTTAAAATATTTTGACATCATGTACTTGATCATTTTTGTTCTAATTATTTTGAAGCTTGGAAAGAAGCTTTGCTGCTAGACAAGGGAAATGGTGTGGGGATAAGGCTATGCTACCACCTAGTGTATGAATTTGTAACTACAGTGCTTTCCCTCGAGGTTCGTGCAGGTTTTTAAGGAAAACACTACAGGCTAAAACGGCTAAAACCATATATACAGTCTATGGCTAAAACCTAGTATCTTTAATGAACTGATCAATTCTGAGATTTCGGGCTATATTGTTTCCATAGCACCTCCTTCAGACTACTTGAAAATAAACATCCAAAATACACATTGATGTCTATAATGTCTATTTTTTTTAACTGTGTTCGTTTGTATCGGTAGATGTTTCCTAATCTCACAAAAAGTTAGAAAAACTCCTCATTTGCATATTTAAACATAACATTGCAATATACTGGTAGCTTTATGGTGATATCTTTAAAGGATGTTCAACCGTATTCAACTGTTGTTTCTTTTCTTCAAACTGAGTAGTACCTACTTTATGAAAGCTGTACATCACATGGTACATTTATGACCAGAAAATATTCTTCAAATATATTCAGATGTCTAGAATAAATGTAGGAATTCAAGAAATGTAAATGTAGAAGTGATGAGACATATGTTTGTATACAGTGGTGTAAAGTAACTAAGTTCATTTACTCAAGTTCTGAATTTAAGTACAATTTTGAGATACTTGTGCTTTACTTGAGTATTTGTTTTGCTACTTTGTATTTCTACTTCACTACAATTTAGAGGTGGATTGTGTAATTTTACTTTACTACATTTATAGAATATCTTTAGTGACTTTGCAGATTTTGATTAATAATGTGAAATATAATCAACACTTAAATAAGATTTTAGTTACACCTGGAGTAAATTCACAAATACTCCGCAGTATACAAAGTAATTAAAACTAGCTGCACCTTTACCAGCTTTGATAACATCAATAATTATTATCAAAACATATAATATTATTCTGAAATAGACCAATCTGCACAATGAGTACTTTTTTATGCTGATACTTTTGTACTTTTACTTCAGTAACATTTTGAATGCAGGACTTTTACTTGTAAGAGAGTATTTCTACACTCTGGTAGCCTACTTCTACTTTCACTTAAGTACAAGATCTAAGTACTAATCCCCCCCTCTCTGTTAAGATGTCTGCCTCAACTGTCTTCTGTGAATAAAGCCAATTTTCCGAACCTAAAACATAAGATTATAATTCATTAGTGGATTTATATTTGTAGTAACATCTGTAAAGTAAATACAACTGTCAAATAGGCTATTGGTTGAGGAGTAACAGTTGCTTTTTGAACTAGGTTAAGAGGTAAGGAATCAGGAAAAGAAAATAGTCTACTTAAAGTACCTCAGATTTGTATTTAAATACACTTACTTTGCACCACTGCTGTTTAAGAACTATTTTGTCTAGCGGTAGACTACGATGATAGTTGTTTCAAATTTATATTTGGTTATATAATTTCTTTAATATTAAATCTTAATTGTCTCCAGTGTCTCTGTGTCCCTTTATGCTCTCTGTAAGCCGCAGATAGCCCGCCCTCTGGCGGATGAGCCTCGGCGGTGTAGCGGTGCTGCGGTGGGACGGCGGGCCTCATCACCGCGGACAGGCGGGACAAAGCACTTGTTCAGAGGCTGTGAAGGAAACCGTTGTCTCTCCGTCCGCCCGGGACAGCAGCTTAAAGTCGCGGCTTTAACGGTTACATTAAAAAGCCTCACTTTATTTTTAATATATCGCGGGACATTCATTTCCTGACGGCCGTTTTATTATTTTCTCAACTGTTCAAAACTTTAGGAAGAAGGAGAGTTTTGACAGGAAACGCTCTGACTGTGCTTTCCCCCTTCCTGGATCCTCAGGTAAGACAACATACAGTTGAAACTAAAAGGTGATTTTAAAACCAGTTTTATGTTATTATTCTTGAATAAACCTGTATTATTATTTTTGTATCAAGTATTTTGAAGTCTTTTACCGTAAAAGTATCTGGGTGAAAGGAGTAACGGTGAACAGGTGGGACCCCTGTTGTTTCCAAAGTAACGACAGTTAGATAACACCGTTATTGAGTTAGCGAGTCAGTTAGCTACAGGTTGTTAATGGTGATAGAGAACTCCGTTAGAACGATCTACCGGAACAAAACAAAGACATCAAGAAAACAGCAACGTTAGTCTACTATAGCTAATGGAAAATCTGATGGCCTTTTGATGCAAGCCAAGTGCAGAGGTGGGAGAAATACTCAGATCTTGTACTGAAGTAAAAGTACTAGTACCAGAGTGCAGCATATTAGCATCAACATAAATGTAGAGTACCAAAAGTTAAAGTACTTATTATGCAAATTAGCCCTTTTCAGAATAATATATATTATATGATTTGATTATAATGATTGATGCATCAATGTGTTTATCAAAGCTGGTAAATGTGCAGCTGGTTTTAAAGACTTTGTGAACTTCAGGGTAGCTTGTAAATGTGACTTTAGGTGAATATAAAGTCTTATTAATGAGTTGTTTATGTTTCACACTATTAATCCAAATGTGCAAAGTAACTAAGGGTATTAAATAAATATAGTGGAGTAAAAGTACACAATTTAACTGAAAATACTCAAGTAAAGTATGAGTCTCTCAAACTTGTACTTAAGTACAGTACTTGAGGTAATGTACTTAGTTACTACTACAAGCCTTACGGATCAATAACAAACACAAAGTAACCCAACAGTCCTAAAATAAGATAAATAATCACTGCAGGTTCACAAGTAGTAATCCTTTTGTGATGAGTCTGAAGTTGATGTTACAGTGTGTTTATATATTTTGTAGATTGTAAAGACAAATTAGACACATAAAAGGCTTTTTCCATAATTATAATTCAACGATTGACTGTATAAACTGTAGTTTACTGGTTGGCACAATGTCTCATAATGAGAGTTTTGTGATATCGCTCAGGTGCCAGTTGTTCAGGTACACCTCGTTCCACTACAGAAGCCCTTTAATAATCACTATATGAAGTAGCAGAATAGAATACCATTTCATTATAGAGTAGAACATTATCTTTAGCTTGCCAAAACTTAGAAGCAAAATTCGACATACAGTTTAGCCCTGTAAAAGATATAATTGAGCATACAACACAGTTTACAAGTTAATAAAATACGTCCACCCAATACTTTCTTTTCATTCAGGTTTATTTAGATTTAGATAATTAACCTTCAGTGATATTATTGGGTGGACAACATAATAAAAACTCTCTTGAGTGCTTCATAATACATACCAACAACACCACAGTCTCTTAAAAGTCAGTTAAGTGGAATCAACATCTCAAAACATTTTTTGAATTTTTGCAACTGATTGCACAGCTTGTTATTTTCCACAATTTTGACTGACTTTTATACGGCCCAGGAGATTTTTCAGCTGGGTGTGTTTGGGCAGCAAGTCTTGGCTGACTCCTGTGTGTATGCCAGTGGGCCCCAGCCTACATCAGGCAGGGGCCTAATTGTTTTTGACAGATGTGAGACATGTGACTGTATGAGTGGAATTCCATTATCAGCAGCAGATGATAGAGTCTCTGTGTTGTAGAGGAGCTCAGGCTGCGGATGGTGGGTGTGGGACCTGACCTGTGACTCTGGTCCAAAAACACTCTGCTTTCTGCCCAGCATGAAAATAAGATTTGTTATCCAGTTTTAGACAAACAACACTTTAGTACTACGACTACTGCTACTACTACTGTTTCTCCTACTATTGCTGCGATGCTGCTGCTTCAGAAAAAGTACACTTCACTTGTTTTAGGGAATTTGCTAGTAAATAACCATAAAGCTTTGCCTTTACATAAAAACAAATGTCCAAAATAAGGTATTGTAGTTTTGTTGATCTTTACTATCAGTCTGTAGGACACCCTCACATATGTTTTGTCCAAGCACTGAGTCTACTGTTCTAACAAAACATATTTAAATGATTGATTAATCTGCAGATCTTTTTTAAATAATTGATAACTTGGTCAATAAAATGGCAAAATATGATGAAAACTGCCATATAGCCCAGGTTAATGTCACAATTAGCTTGGTTTTATCCAACAAAAAGTCCAAAACCAAATAATTTTCTCTTAACTATTACAATTAAACCGGATGTTTGGAATTCCTTTTGAAAAATTAGTTAAACCATTGCCGCTCTATGAGTAAAAAAAGCTGTACATGTAATTTTTGTATCCTAAAGAATAGAACCCCTATTAACCGCTACCTTTTAATAAAAAATCCTACTTTATTACATTGACAAAGATGCACTAGAAAAAACCCACTTGGGGCTCCCAAAGTAGTCATTTTCCAGAATGTACAATTGTTTGGTCCTCAGTGTTATTTGGTTTCTCGGAAAGAGCCTGTGCCTCAGACTACTTCCAGCCACTTATTGATATAATCAAATACTGGCAGTAGAAATTACACTAAGACCTACTGGCTTAGGAGACAGCCTGTTGATCAACAATAAAGGACACATGACACCGCTGTATGCACAACATCCACCTGTCCTCCCCTCTCTCTGTTTCTCTCTCCTGCCCCCCCACAGCAGCACAGAGGAGCCCTTGTTTGATCCTCCACAGACAGTGCCCCAATTTTCTTTTCTTTTTAAAAAAAAACCCAAACTCCATGGCAACACTGTTCCCGTGACAAGCAGCCTTGACTTTTGCCCCTCCTGCTCCCGAAACAAAGGCAAGAAGTTATGGAGGGAGGAAAGGGGGGAAGGAGGGTAGTGGGACAGGGGGATGAAGGATAAGAAGGAATGAGGGAGGGAATAATGGGAAGGTGTCTGGGATGGAGGCTCTGAGGCGAGACCTCTTCTTCTGTGTGTGCTAGAGACCCTTAAAGAGAGGAGAGTTATCACTGGAGACTGTGGGCAGTGCCAAGAACTGTGTCTCCGTCCGTCCGTCTGTATGTCTTCCTCTCTGAATGGTCGTTACCTCCCTCAAAACCCCACCACGGTGGCTCAACAGGAGCACGATGTTAATGGAAGAGGTTTCTTTCTTTGTTGTTCAAATCAGTGCTGTGGGTTAGAAGATAGAGCACCTGCACATGTATTCCTTGATGATAAATCCAATAGCATTTCAAGGTAAATAAATCAAGGGCTGTAACTAACAGCTTTAATACAAATCTAAAAGTTGCATCCAATCGTTTAACATTGACCTTTATGCCCGAAACACAATTAATGAACTAACTTTGTCCCATTCATTTTTGGTAAATGAATTGATTGGTTGGCTCTATATAATGTTACAATAATAAACAATGTCTATCC